TCAGATCAATCTGTCATATTGCAAGCAACAAGAATTAAATCTGTTTCCTTGGTTGTTCAGGAGTTAAAGAATTACACTTTAATAACACTTTAATAAGTAAGTGGGTATAATTATGAGCTTTGATCTGACATATTAATATAGCAAATGAAAAAAAAAATAGCCACTGATGCCAAGCATATTTTTGGGGAAACGTATATAAAACTTACACATTTAAGATTTTTTTTAAAAAAAAATGATATTTTTATGACACCACAGATTCTGTAAAAGCATTATAGTAAATTTTTATTCCTGGTGATCACATTCCTCTTCAAGAGTGGTTATTGTTGTTTTTAAATGTCCCAGTCTAGGGACAACCTTTGGATTTTTTGGTGGTCTCCCACTCAAGTTCTATACCTTTTATGTGTGTGTATCTATTGTTGTTTTAATCAGCTACAGTTAGTTTGAGAGCTAGATTGGTATAGTGATTTAAGGCCCTAGACTAGAAGCCAGAAGAATTTGAATTCTAACTCTGCCTTGGGTACAAAGCCAGCTGGATGACCTTGAGCCAGTAGGTCTCTCTCAGCCTTAGGAAGAAGAAAGCAAGGGCAAAAACCTCTTCTGAAGCCTTGGCGAGAAAACTGCAGCAACTTGTCCAGATAGTCAATATGAGTCAATACTGACTTGAAGAACCACAAGAAACAAGATTAGTTTAGTGATGCCACAGGCTTAAGTGAGCGGCAGAAGGAAAATTATGAAAGGTATGGAGAGCCATCATACTAAAAGAACATCGTATTAACTAAAATAATTCAAAATTTTTGTCCTGGACTTACTTCGTTCTTGAACTAGCGCCCTTGGCCACATGTAGGACTTAATCCAAAAAAGCCTGCACAATCTGTCTGAAAGAGATCTTAGTAAATTCTTCTCCTTTGTAGCCACCAGTGTTCCAAACTGATTGACAAGCATCCAGAATACATTTTTGAGGAAGAACAGAGAAGTCCAAGAAACGTCTCCTCCCCGTTCCATTAATAGACGCTCTCAACTGAATTTGTATCTTCTTCAGACAGAAGAACTTGGCTCCACGTTTAGTAGTGGCAATCAGAATGTGGCAGCCAGATTGTTAACTGGCTGACTGTCAAGAACATTGTTCTAGGCTTTTGAATTTTTTCTGAGAGATTCTAGCTTGCTCCAGAATTCAGTTTATCATCCTGGACTTAGTTTGTTATCTTCCAAGCAGCCTGAAATTAGACAACGGTAGTCAGTGGAGAGATGGCCTTTTCTGTAATAGCATTCTAGTTTATGGACCCTTTTGTCTAGATATATTCACTTATTTGTTTCTTTGCCATCTTTTAGTTTCCAGGCAGACTGAAATTTGTGTTCTTTTGTATTTATATACTTAAAATCATTAACAATATTTTATTATTTTGGGATTATGGGAATCTCAAATAAGGTATGCCTAGCAAATGGCTTGCTAATCTGTGCTTAGATTGAAGTTATGCTATTTGGTAAATCATTAGATGCCATCACTGTTTTAAGAATAGCAGATATGCTGGGGAATGCATTGATGGCAAATCAATTTTACTGGCAAAGACACAGGAGGAAAATGATTGAAAGGGGGTGGGGCCATCATAGCATAGAAACGTACAAGTAAGATCACTTGTATTTAAATCAATCAGAATACAGCTGGAAGGGGCCTTGGAGGTCTTCTAGTCCAGCTCCTTGCTCAAGCAGGAAATCCTATACCATTTCAGACAAGTGACTGTCCAGTCTCTTCTTAAAAACCTCCAGTGATGAAATACCCACAACTTCTGAAGGCACACGGTTCCACTAGTTAATTGTCCTCACTGTTAGGAAGTTTCTTCTCAATTCCAGGTTGCTTTTCTCCTTGATTAGTCTCCATCCATTGTTTCTTGTCCTGCCTCTGGTGCTTTGGAAAATAAATTGACCCCCTCCTCTTTGTGGCAGCCTCTCAAATACTGGAATACTGCTATTCTGTTCCCCTTTGTCCTTCTTTTCTCTAGACTAGCCAAACCCAAATCCTGCAACCGTTTTTCATATGTTTTAGTCTTCAGGCCTTTAATCATCTTAGTTGCTGTTCTTTGCACTTTTTCCAAAGTCTCAACATCTTTTTTGTAATGTGGTGATCAAAACTAGATGCAGCATTCCAGTATTTTCCATTCCTTTCATTAGTATCTACTAAAGCAGCTTTACAAAAATATCAGATTTGGTGTAAATAACTCCTCCTTTCTCAACAATGGGATGGGGAGAATAAAACATGGCTACCCTACTATCCTAATTTTGTTAATGCTACAACACAGCATAGATATAACAGTGCTTCAGAGTCTTGGCAAGAAGATAGTGGTTTGTAAAAGCTTTTATAAGCAGAGGATGTCATTCTTTTCTATTCCATTCATTCATCCCCATCTGACTCTAATAACAGTGGGGCATGCCAGTAGGCTAATGGCCAGCTGTGCTATTTGGGCTGTTGGGAGTCATCCATGACTAGTGTGGTGATATAAGGATATTTTGTCAGTCACGAAAGACCAGGTACACATTGATTTATTTGCTAAAAATCCTATTGCACAAGAATCTTCAGTTAATGGTCAGCATCTCATTACAGTTAATAAGGGTCAGGGATACTTAAGGATGTGTGTGTTGGATTTCATTTACTTGGGCTATGTAAGGATTCTAGGCCAATCCCTTCTTTCACTCCACTACCAGGTTCTGCCATTTCTTCTCCTACATATATGGTGTAATGGGCAGCACATCTGCCATGACTTCCTTGACTCACTTCAGGTATGGATAGCATCCTTCCCCCAGTGTGGACACAGGTTGGTATTTCTGGGAAACTGGGAGTCTGTAGTTTGTCATCTATCTGTCCTTTTTCTGGTTCTGGTTCTGTATTTCTACCATTAGTATTTTCATTCTGGCACCTCATTTTGCGTTTCTGCTTGTATGCTTTTCTGTTGTACCTCCATTCAGTGTCTATTGGACTGATGTATTTCTACTTCTAGTGTTATGCAAGTATAAGATTGTTAACTGCAGTTAGCTGCTGTTATGTTTCATTGGGATTTCTTTAATCTTTGGTGTGATTATAGCCTAAAAGGCAGAGTAAAAATAATGAGAATCAGAAACAAATTTTTCTTTTTTCCAGCATAGATTTAGTTTGAATGGGTATTGTGTTTCAAGTACAGAGATAGCTAGTTCCAGAACAAATATGCCAAAACATATGAAAAATGGTTGCAGGACTTGGATATAGCTCATCTAATAGAAAGAAGGACTAGGGAAGACATGATAGCAGTGTTCCGATATTTGAGAGGCTACCACAAAGAAGAGGAATCAACCTATTTTCCAGAGTACTAGAAGGAAGAACAAGAAGGAATAGATGAAAACTAGTTAAGGAGAGAAGCAACCTAGAAATAAGGAGAAATTTCCTAATTGAGAACAATAAACCTGTGGAATGGCTTACATTCAGAAGTTGTGGGTGCCCCATCACTTTCAAGAAGAGATTGGACAACCATTTGTCTGAAATGGTATAGGGTCTTCTGCTCAAGCAGTGGGTTGGACTAGATGACCTTCAAGACTCTTCCAAAACTGTTATTCTATGTTCTAAACATAACAATATATCTGCTTTGAAGTTCTTTTAGCAACTGTCACAGATTGATAAGGTTGTCTTCAATTAGACCTTTCAGCATATAATAATGGCTTGTTGACTGCAGTTTCATCGAACATCCAGATAGCATCTTTGTCCTTTGGTTACTAATCTATACATTTCTATTTTTTCCTTAGTTCAGATACTTGAAATGTTCAACACCTGAGGCTGCTTGCATATTTATTTTTCATGACTTTTTAAGTATTGGAATTCCGCAATTGCAGAATTCCTGTTTTGGGGCATTGTTCATCTTTCACATTCAGAATTTAAGGAACATTTTTCCTTGCCAGTACAGTAGTGTGTAGCTTCCTTGTAGGTCCAAGTTTTTAAAAAGTTTTGTTCTGCATAAGTAAGATTTTATGCCAAATTCAATTCCCAATGCTTGAATTGGGACAGATTTTCAGCAGCAGTAGAAGACTGGCTGCCTTCTGAGATGGTGTTCAATTTCTCGGTCTAGCTTAAACCCCAAAATTTTCCAATGCTCTCCAATTCAATACTTAACTTGCATGACATTTTGAGATGAGTCAAGGTCTGCTGGGTTACCGGCTACAAATTAGTATGATGTAGTGGGCATCAGACTAGAAACTGAGAGACTGTTAGTTTTAGTCTTGAGTTGGGCACAAAGCCAGCTGGGACCTAGGGTCAATCTCAATCTCTCTCTCTCTCTCTCTCTCTCTCGCTCCCTCTCTCTCCCTCCCTCCCTCCCTCCCTCAACTTTCTCAACAATACGAGGAAGGCAAGAGCCAACCACTTCTGAAATTTCACCAAGAAAATTGTAGAGACTTGTCCAGTCAGTCACCAGTAGGCAACACTTACTCCAAGACTCCTCCTCCCAATAAAAAACCCCAAACAAATCCAGTTTGGAAGAAAGAAAGAAAACAGAATAGCAGCACAATGGGTCTCCAAATCAACTCTGGAAGAACCCTCATATTCCAGAGCAAAGTACATGGAAGTTTTGAGGATATAAAAGGATGAAAGCATTATGTAGAAGCCAAAAATATCAATAACAGGTGCCGCCAATGGTACATGCCAGGGGTCTGCAACCTTAAACACTCAAAGAGCCATTTGGACCTGTTTCCCACAGAAAACACAACACTGGGAGCCATGAAACCCTTCCTGTGCCTGACTATTTCTTGAGCAGCCACAAAACTAGCATATGTAGTTGAATTAAACGTTCTGTTTTCTTCTGAAACTTTTCTTTTCTTGGATTTTTGCGTGCCGATGGGTGTTGCACATTGGTGGTTATGATGCATATTTTGAGTGACAGGAAGCTGCAGCAGAGGGGTAAAAGAGCCACATGCGGCTCCAGAGCCACAGGTTGCTGACCCCTGGTATATGTGATGTCATAATCAACTGTGCTCTGATATTTGATAGTTCTGGAATTACAAAGCATATAACATGATGCTAGATGCCAAGGTAACTTTGTGTAAAACAACCATGCACATTGTCATAATTATCCTTGTGTTGTGGGTCAGGGACTGAACAGACACCAGCTGTGGATTTGCTTGAAATATTTAGGACAGGAATAATTTGTATAAATTGCCCACTGCAGTTGTGAAAGCAGAAAAAATGGAAAATTTATAGCATGATGCAAGGGAAGACACAGGAAATTTTTAAAGAAAGAGATAATAGATATGTAAACTATCCCGTGATGTTATTCTGTCTTCAAATTGTAGGAATCCTGTAATAAGAAAATAAGTTTTAAATAACATTTTTAAAAAAACCTGATACTGAGAATCCAAGCTATGATGACCAGAATTTTGTAATGAAAATTAATCATTTTTCTAAGTTTTTGCTTATTTGCAGTTCCCAAATTGCATTGATACAAGAGACTTTGCTATCAGGTGGCCACTCAGAATCTATAACTTCCATTGAATCTTCAATAATACATTACATTGCAAGATCTGGTTTACTAACTACAGGTAATCCTCGATTTACAAGCACAATTGACCCCAAAATCTCTGTTGCTAAGCAAGACAGTTGTTAAATAAGTTTTGTCCCATTTTATGATCTTTCTTGCGAGTTTTTAAGTGAATCACTGCAGTCATTAAGTTAGCAACACAGTTGTTAAGCGAATCTGGCTTCTCCACTGACTTCACTTGTCAGAAGGTTGCAAAAGGTGATCACAGGACACTGCATCTGCCATAAATATGAGTCAGTTGCCAAATATCCAAATTTTGATCATGTGATCATAGGGATGTTGCAACAGTTGTAAGTGTGAAAAATGGTCATAAATTATTTTTTTTCAGTTCTGTTGTAACTACGAACAGTCATTAAATGAAAGGTTGTAAGGGCTACCTATATCTGACATGCAACAATCAAGCTCCTATGCCATTACTTTAAAGGAGAAATGGACACATTGTGATATGCTAATAATCTCTTGCAGATTTGGAGTAAAGTATTCAAGAATTTCCAGCTTCCAGTTGTTAAGCAAGAGCAATAAAGTATAACTCTAATCCTGTTCTAAATTATGCAGCTGGAATGTTGAATGTGTGGGGTAACAGGATTATTTTCATCTCTGTGCACTCTACTTATTTTGGTACTCAGTAAATTCCTGGCTTCTGGATGATTTCCTTCTGGCTCTGGTTGATGGACCTTGGGATGCTAGTAAAAACAAAATAGATTGTGCAAGTCTGAAATCTGCCTAAACTGGTGTAAAATAACACCAGAAAATGCTTCTTTTTTTCTTCACTAAAAATGTCTCCAAATCTCATATTCCATCATGGACAGAAGGCTTTTGCATAGCAATAGCACTTAGACTTATATATCATTTCACAGTGCTTTATAGCAGTACTTTAAAGCAATTTACAGAATCAGCATATTGAGGCTAACAATCTGGGTCCTCATTTTACTGACTTCGGAAGGATGGAAGGCTGAGTCAACCTTGAGCCAGTCAAGATCAAACTATGGGTAGTCGGCAAAATTAGCCTGCAATTCTGCATTGTAACCACTGCGCCACCATGGCTCAGTTTTTCTGTGTGTGCTTTTTTTGTTTTTCCTGTGGAAAAGATTCCATCATTGAGACGAATGATTTGTTTAACTATCAACGAGCAAAATTCTTTGTGCATTTACTTGGAGATGCCTTTGGGGTTTAGTATGGTTTATTCCCTTATGAACGTGTTTGCTATGCTCTCCTTTTGTACAGGATATTTGCTGTGGCTTTCTGAGCAAATAAACTATTGCGCCAAAAATGCGCCAAAAATGTGAGCTAGCTATCAGAGCTACAGGAAAATAGTGGGTTGATTACAAGGCTAAGTGGCACAGCATGTAATGTAACTCTGTAATCAGTTTTGAGGACATTTATAAAAGTTGCTCAGTTATACCGCATGCAGACATGGCTCAAGAGCTGCAATTACTTCATAGTCTGCTTTCTTTGAAACATTTGACTCATTTTACTTTTCTTCTGGCTTTGTTGATTATTAGAATCTCACAAACGTTAGGTAAACACACAGCACACCTTTGTGTAAATTGTTGAGTAGGATACAAGAATTGGTCAGGATACAAAGAACTGGTTCACCAAAGGCCTTGCACACTTTGGACTTCCTGTTCTAGGACAGAGGATCCAAGTTGCCAAATATTAGCTGTCTTTTGAATTGAAAAAAGAAATGGGATTTAGATTTAACCTCCTTCCACTCCACCTTCAGCTGCCAAATCCTTGATAAAGAGGTTCAAGCTAACAGATAGGCTGCAATGGCGGCTTAAATTCTCTAGTTATTACAATATCTCATCTTTTTTTCCTCAGAACTCCTTGAAGGAAGAGATTATGAAGATGGTTGCTGACAATTCTGTTATAGAAATGAAAGAGAAATTGTCAACATCAACTTCCTTTAGAATCCAAGTGTTTAAAATTGGAAAGCCATTTGATTATTTATTTTAAGACAATAGCTTAAACTATTGTATTGTTTACATTATTTTGGGCTGGGGGAAGGTTTGAAGATTGGGCTGGGTTAAACAGAAGGGTGAGCAGCAATGGTTCTGTTCAGAAAAGCGCAGTAATAGAAGACAATAAGGAGAAGCCGAGAACTAGGACCTACTGGCATTGCTGCTCAAATCATGATCAACAGTACATCCAAATGCAAAGAAGGGAGTACATGAGCTAAGTTACCTCATGATGCATTTGCTAATAAGCCATTCAGGTAGCTGTGGTTGGTACAAATGTACCGTGTTTCCCTGAAAATAAGACCCTGTCTTATTTTTTTAACCCTGAAATAAGCGCTTGGCCTTATTGCCATGCAGTCAAAAGCCCGATTGGGCTTATTATCAGGGGTTGTCTTATTTTCAGGGAAACAGGGTATATGCACAAGGGGATATCAGTATGGGGAAGGTATCTATCCTCAGTTCCCAAACGGGTGGCTGAAAGACACACGAAGAGGTAAGGCAGAATTTAGCCTAAAAAGTTCTGTTATTTTCATGCTTTTAATCTGCAAAGGAAAGGCACAACCTACTAAGGTGAACAGCAGGGAATAAACAGGCAAATATACTTTAGTATATTTGTATACTTTAATATAGTATATATTTTTTGATATGTGCTTAGATTCAAGAGCTGTTCCACCCATTCCTGTAACAATACCTTGAGATAGGTTGGGTTGAAAAAAAACCTATCAGCCTTGTGAGATAACACACCCAAGGTACACACCCAAGGTACTATATTTTTATTGTAAGGTTGTACTAACAGAATCATACAGTTTGAAAGTGCATTTCTCCCATTACCTTTACAGTCCAAACAATTATAGAAAAATCCTTATGATATGTTTGCCACTGCCTCATTCCTTTTGTGGGCTCAGTTGCTTCTTATCTGACATTGCCTAGCCCAAGGCTCTTCCTCCTCTCTGCTAAGATCATTCACACATTCCATTACAATGACTGGTCCCATATTATCAAGGGAGCTCCCATGGCTGCAGGTGGGTTTTCCTTTTCATCCAACACTTTAACCTCTGCATCACTTTGGCTCTCTACCGAAGGTATAAATTCTGCAATGATGTAAGTCCACCCAGTGCATATACTTTCTTACCTACACTAACCTACACTCAAAGAGGCCATCTATGTCAAAATTCAACAGGGGGGGAGGAATATGACATCATCTATCTCCAGTCTACATACAACACAGTCCTTTCAACAGTTCCAAGAAGGCTCCATACCCATTTGCACCACTCAGGTGATTCTGATGACACAGATAAATCTCCAGGTGGCCTTAACGACTCGCTAAAAGAATGCAAATGACCAGCTATCTGCAAGGAGTATAAATCCTTCCATTCCCCACCATCCAGTCAAAGCTGAAGAAGCTTCTTGGATGAGAAGCAAAAAGTCTTCAAAGAAAAACCAAAAAGTCCAATTGCCTCTTGAAAAAGCACCTTTGGGACAACCATGACCTGGATGACTGAGGATCTCCATAGACATTTACCTATACTAACAGAATAACAGAATTGGAAGGGAACTTGAAGTATTCTGATCCAACCTCCTGCTCAGGCAGGAAGACCTATAACATTTCAGACAAATAGTCGTTCAATTTCTTCTTAAAAACTTCAATTGTTGGTACATTCATAACTTCTGCAGGCAAGTTGTTCTACTGATTAATTGTTCTAACTGTCAGGAAAATTCTTCTTAGTTCTAGGTTGCTTCTCTTCTTGATTAGTTTCCATCCATTGCTTCTTGTTCTACACTCAGGTGCTTTGAAGAATAGCTTGACTCCCTCTTCTTTGTGGCAACCCCTTAGATATTGGAACACTGCTATCTTCTCACTCCTAGTTTTTCTTTTCATTAAACTAGACATATCCAATTTCAGCAACCGTTCTTTGTTTTAACCTCCAATCCCCTAATGCAGAGTTCCCCAAAGTTTCCAGCTTTGTAAACTGGGAGGGGTCCGGAGAGGGGATGGTTCCACACAAGTGCTTGCACGCAGCTCCATTTGTGCAAGGGACATGCATTTGTGTGTTTGCTGCACATGCAAATGGAGCATGCACGCACATGCTCGTCTGCTGCTTGCACAAGTGAGGATGCGCGTGTGCTTGCCAGCCATTTCCATGGCCCAGTTGCAAACCCATCACAGCCCACAGGTTGGGGACTTCTGCCCTAATCATCTTTGTTGCTCTACTCTGCATTCTTTCTAGAATTTCAACATCTTTTTTACATTGTGGTGACCAAAACTAAAATGCAGTATTCCAAGTGTGGTCTTATCAAGGCATTATAAAGTGGTACTAACACTTCACATGATCTTGATTCTAGAAGACACTAGAAGTGCCTTCTGCTCCTGAGAATCCTTCTCCAGCTAATTTGTTTCCTAATTGAACACTTTCAGCTTGCTGAGATCACAGTCTTCAGAATTCCTAAATCCCTTGGCAAAGTCTTAGCAAGGGCTCATGTTGGGTGGGAATTGTAGTCTTAACCCTGTAACAGCCTATTAGATTTGGGAAAGTTCTGTTAGTGGATGGGAGAAAAAAACTGTTGATACCTGCTGCCAAGTTTTCCAACCTTCTCAGGGAGCTGGATCCCCTTCAGCTGAAGCAGAGCCAACAGTAGCAAAACAGGAAGAGTGGTAGCTTTCTGAAAACAAAATCTAGTCAGGCAAAATCCAGAGGGAAAGGAAGGGAAGGAAAAGAAAGACAAGGCTGCTGCTTCGATCAACTGACAAAGCTTCAATGCAGAAGACAAATGGATAGTTAGATAGATAGATGAGAAATTACAATGTTGAACAATGAGGAAAATACAAGATTTAGCAGGATTAAATGCCGGAGAAAATAAATAGATATTCAAGTGATAGGCAAAAGTTTACAAGGCTTGAGAATAGCCAAAATACATCGGGGAAAATGCCAAAATTGCAGCATCTGTGTCAGATTGTTATTCAGTGAATCACTAGTAGAATATACAGAGTCAAGGACTGCCAAATTCTAAGCCGATGATGGCAAATCTATGACACACATGTCAAAGGTAATATGCTAAGACATTTGGTTGACATGACAGTGTTCACCAACACTCAACAACTATTCTTGAAAGCCTGCCCCAATCTTGCTCAATTTGCAGAGGTTGAGCAAAAATGGAGTGTGCTCTCACATGGCCTCTGGACTCTCTGGAAGTTGCATGAGAGGGACATGTTTTCACCTGGCCTCTGGAGCCTAACGGGACACATTTTTGTGTGGTTTTCAGAGGCTGCAGAGGCCATGGAAGAGCAATCTCTAAAGCTGCTTCAAGAACCAAGACTCCGTGCAACCCAGAGCAGCCTCAGAGAAGCCATTGGAGCCTGTTAACAGAAAAAGAACACCACTTGAAAATAAGCAGCGTGTAGCAGATCCTGGGGGGTGCCAGGCTGTGGCAAAAATCACATTGGTTTCAAGGTTCGCTACCTTGGGTCATGGCTTGAGGCGGCCTGTTTCAGTGGCAATGATGGCATTATGACTGAAATCAAGGCACAGGCCTCTTCTACAGGCCTTGTCACTGTCAAGAGCTAGTGTTCAGAATGGTTTAAAGGGAGGAGAGTTAGAGAATTGTTTAGTTGTGAGTGGGGGGGGCATATATCCTCATTTAATGCCTGGAAAGAAAGATGCTATTAGCCTACACTTTGATTATAGAGTATAGGTCTCCCTGACCTGGCCTGGTTGAGCTTTGGACTCTGCTAAAGAGCAGCATAATCTCATATATGTGTGACGGTTTCCCCTTTGCAGGCAGTCATATTCAGAATGCAACTATCAGAGAAAACTAGAGAACTGTATGATTGAGGGCAGGGCCAGAATGTCCACCTCACTGCCTACAATATATTTGTACTGTATTCAATAGTTTAAAGATAAATGTAGGAGCGGTAGATAAGAGAGTCTTGTGAATATATTTAAATTGGTTTTGAAAATCAGCACGTATTAAACAAAACATAGACATTTCTAGGATATTATATTCCTCTTTGGTATAACTGATATGAGAACCAGTTTTGTGTAGTGCTTAAGGCAACAGGCTAGAACAACTCCCGGGCTGTGGCCCACTACCAGGCCATGGCCTACTCAGAATTGGGCAGTGCAAGTGGCTGGCTGGAACGTGTGCATGCAGCTCAATTGCATAAGCAGTGGGTTGGCAGGCACTTGTGCATGTGTGTGCCAGCCCACCATTCATGCAAGGACTGCATGTGTGCAGCCCAGTTCCCCTTCCCCCCCAACAGCTGGGGCACTAAGCCACGAATGTTGGGAACTGCTGGGCTAGAAACTGGGAGACTTGAGTTCTAGTCCCACTTTAGGCAGAAGCTGTACAACTCTAGGTATCTTAAGGCCAGTCAGTTTCTCTCAGTCCTAGGTAGGCCATGGAAAAACCCTTCTGAAAAACTTTGCTAACAAAATTGCAGAGACTTATTTAGGCAAATGTCAGGAGTCAAAATTCATTCTAAGGCACCAAAAACCAAAATAAAAATCCTATATGAAGTAAAAGGTATCAGATAGCATCATGAGGAAATAATCAAATGGAAGAATGGTATAATTGCATTGGAAATCTGTAATGCATTGGAAATCTGTAATGATTAATGCATAGCACTGCTTGGGAAGAAAAATTTGTAAGAAGTTATAGATAGTCCAGAAGTTCACAGTTTTAATAAGAATAGATCTGAATCCATTTGAATTTGAATTCTGCTTGCTCCATCTGGTTTTGGATGCATAAAATACAAGTAGTTGAAAGAAAGATGGCTGGAGCTTTTTTCTACTCCTTGTCCCATCTTGTAATGTCATTTGCCAGAAACTCCTATGGCTTTTGACATATAATATTAAAATATATTCTTAAATGCCATGGGGTAGAGAAGGAAGAAGGGCTACAGTATAAAAGAATAATAATTAAATTCAGGGATTTTCTTGCGTAAGTGGAGATGCCACTCCATTTGCACTTTGGTTCTAGCAATACACACACACACACAAAATTAATATTTATATTAGAAGCCACATGATAATTACCCATCAAAGGCCTATGATTTGAGATGGAGGAAGACCTATAATTTTAAATAGATTATTTGTTGTCAGTTGAAACAACTGATTCAATATTAGAAGAACATTGCTTCCCAACATTGACCTCAACAGCACTTACACTAATGCAGTTTATGGAAACTGTCCAATAGATATGCTTCATTGGCCCACTGTTTTCCAACATTTAGAGGTCAAAGGTGAAGAAAAAAATATATCTTGTGGCTTGTGAAGAGGTATACAAGCACAGAAAAGCCATTTCAACCGCTGATTGGTCGTTTTTATTTGCAATATATTAGACGTATCAAAAAGTTTTCTAAAATGAAAAGAAACCTTCATATGCTTTACTAGGAAGCATGCATATTAATCTATGTATGTCTAAAGACTGACTTTAGGCACTAGCCCATGTTTACCCACATTATCATTTGTAAAGGCCAGCACTTCTGCTGTAGTACAAGATTTAAAAAAAAATTACCATGCCATTTAATTCACACATTTCTCCTCCTTAGAAACAAGCCTAAATCCCACAGTGGAATGATCTCAAGCCCAAAAGAAGATGCAAAAATCTGTAACCAGTTGTGGGATTCCAGTAATTTAACAACTGGTTCTCTACCCCAATAATTTCTTCCAACAACCAGTTTGCCAAACTGCTCAAAAAGTTAACAACCAGTTCTCCTGAAGTGGTGTGAACTGGCTGAATCCCACCACTGCCTGTAACCAAGTGTGAGAGTGATTGTAACTGCTCAATTGAACCAAAAGTGAATTGTGAGGAAGTAATTGTGAGGAGGTGTTCATGTCAGATAGCACTGGCTCACACAGCAATGATAAACATGAGGCAAATATGGAAAGGAAGGCCATCAGACTGGAAACCAAATGTAGATTAGTCCTGTCTATGGTGTTGCCCGTAGCTACCTATGGCTGTGAAAATTGGACCTTAAAAAAGCAAAATGGGAAGAAAATCGACTTGTTTGAGCTGTGGTGCTGGAGAAGGCTTCTGCGTATTCTTTGGATAGAAAAGGTGACCAACAAGCAAATACCGGAGCGCGTAACACTAGACATGTCACTTAGAAGGAAAAATCATGAAACTGCATCTGACTTACTGTGGCCATGACATGTAGGGAAAAATTGGCAGTAAAAGGAAACCAGGCTGCCTAAGAATATGGTGGCTGACACCATCAAAGTTGACACCACCAGAGCACAAAAAACCTCAAAAGAAGTAGTGCAAGATCGGAAGATGTGAAGAGACCTGGCCCATAGAATCACCAAAAGTTGGAAACAACTGAATGGATAACATCATGTTCAAGCAAGCAAGAAGGTGTCTGTGCCATAAAGGTGATGTTAGTATCATATGCTGAATCACAAATTAGATAACCACATTTTGACTTAATGTGTTATGAGCAACTAACTAGGGTGGTTAGTTTGTGGTTCTGATGGAATCTGGACCAGAAAAATTGAGGTATTGAGTAAACCCTAGAAATGCATTTATGGAAACACAAGTCAGTTTTGTGGTCCTTGGTCCTTGTCTTGGATGATCTGTTCTACCTCTTAATTTCAAATACATACTCAAGATTCATTTATAATCAAGTTTATAAAATGAATGCTCCCTGGCTTTGAAATATATCTTAGAGGAATTGCATTTAGTTTTTCTGCCTCTAGAAGAGCAATCAAGACACATTTCTTTTTGTCATGCTTTTAATGCTGAATCAACTATTCTGATATTTATTTTTTTATATTTACTTTATCGTTTTTTATATTTTTTATTCCATCTTCTTTACAATTGGCAAGTTTCAGTACAGGATTCAGACTAGTATAAATAGTCTGTATAGTATAAATAAAGACTAGTATAAATAGATAATAAATAGCTTGTTTAGGAAAAAATCAAGGCTGCAAGAATTGTTCAATGTGCTAACCCAAATGCAACTGATAGGTAATATAAAAATGTACCTGTAAGTCTTTGTATGTTAAATTATATGACAACAGCTAAATAGCTATTGTACTCAAAAAAACCCACTCAAGAGCCAGATCTAGTTAATCCTTGGATGGAAGGCCACAAGGAAATCTCATGTTTAACTTGGAATGTAAGAACCCACCCCCAGATTTAATAATTTTCTAAGAATAAACTTTATGAGACACCCCATTAATTTTATATATACTTGGTTGAATATGATCGTGGTGCCTCCGCCTTTTCCATCCTTTCACTTGTATCCTGGGCCCTTCAGGGTGAGATGGTTTTAGAGATACTGATAGAAATGCCGGGGCAAGTCGAAAAAGCATCCGACAAAGGACTTCCTTTCGCTCTGAAAGAGGCGTGCAAATTCTGCCTAGTATGCAAGCATTAAGGCTACTGCAGCTCTGCAAAACCACTGCCTTTTAAAAGCCGGGATTCTGATAGCAGCCAGTTAGGAAGGTGGTCAAAGAAAGACGATTCCATCACGTGATTTAAAAAAAAATGCCGTAAAAATTAAACCGCGGCTTCCTAAGATACCGTTTCTGTCACTGAATAAAACGAGGAGGGCGACTCAAGCCAGCGAGCAACCCCGATCCTCCAGCCCCAACAAAGTGAAAGGAGGAGGAGCGCGAGAGCAGCGCCCGCCCGCGTCTCTTTTCCGCCCCCGAACAGTGCGCTTCTCCTAAAGGCCCCTTTTGTTTGACGCGCCCGCCCGCTCGCTCTACCTCTTTCCGCGGCGCCCCTCCCATGCCCGCGTTCAGGGAGGGAGGGAGCGACGGAAGAGGCGGCCATCTTGGGCTCCCTCGCCGGGGCTGTGCGTGTGCGAGCGGCGAGGGGGGGGAGGGAGGGAGGCAGGCAGGCAAGCCAAGGCTGGGGTAAAGGGAGTGACTCGCTCCTTTGCGGAAGTGGTGCCTTCACTCCCCCAGAGTGGAAGGAGACGAGAGAGAGGCCCGCGGGGTCGTCGGCACCTTTCCTCAGCGGCGTCTCAAAACCCGTGGAGGATGGCAGGGCGGCTCCCGGCCTGCGTGGTGGACTGTGGCACCGGGTGAGCCCAGAGAGAGAGAGAGAGAGAGAGAGAGAGAGAGATGAATGGGCGACTGGGCGCGCGGCAGCGGCGGAGGCTGACAGTTGGCTTCCAGCGCCGGAGAGGGCGGGGAAGGGAAGCGGCCGGGCTGCCTCTGCCTTTCATTGGGGCGCGTGGAGCGAGACGGGGCTTCTCTTGCCGTCTCTTCTCTCCCCCCCCCCTCGCTGGGCATGGCAGGGCTCTCTGCCCCCTCACTTTATCGATGCCATTTGAGGGTGGCAGGTGGGGGGGGGGAAGGAGGAGGAGGAGGAGGAAGGGTATTCCCGACTGCCGGGCCGACTGGCTTCTTCCCGGCAGCTCTTTTTCTTCCTTTCGGCGTCGGCCGTCAAAGGCGAGGTTTTTTTTTTTTTTTGTGGGCAGAAGGGGCGAGTCCACGCCCTAAACTGCCCGGGTTCAAACCGGTCCCCTCTTCCACCCCGTTTTCCAATCCTGCGGGAGGCTTCGGCCTTTGCCAGAAGGAAGGCTTGCATTGTCTCCTCCTGATAAAAGTTAACCGGAGGTGGCCAGCGATCTTAATTCATTGTGTGGCTTTGCGAGGATGACAGAGCACCTTCCGCCGCTGGGAAGGAGACCCTTTTGGCCCGCTGAGTCTAGCATTTCCTTTCTCTCTCTCCCCCCCCCCTTCTTGGAGGGAGGAGGGTTGCAAGAGATTGGATTTGGATTTTTGCTGTTGCATCGGTCCAAGGCGTTTTTTCCCTGCATTGCTGTTAGGATGCAATTTTGGAGAAGAACGTCTGCAGCCTTAATTTCGTTTAGGAAATAGCCATTTGGGGGGGGGGGGAGGTTTGAAGAAAAAAAAAAAATCAGCGCCAGCCTTTCTCGGGTCAAACTGGCCTGTGTATAATTTTCAACTAAGTTCAGTATACAGGGACGAGGGGAGCCTTCAGATTGGTGGCTTCCTTTTGCAGTGCCATGATTTGTCCATATGTGCCATTTATTCAGCATTACTTCTCTCTGTGTGGGTGGAAAAAAAAAAAGTCTGCCCTCTCTTAATGAGCAAGCGCAGAGGAACTTCCTTAGTTTTGTCAAAGGCGCTTCCTCCTTTCAGGCTTTTATACCTTATAAGGCAGTTTTCAGTGACAAACCTGAAACAAATCCTTTTGAGAAACTACTTTTCTTATTTTGTAATTACTAATTAACGTGGAGAAAAGGCGCTCAATGTTGCTATTTTCTAACATGTCCCTCATAGAAAAGAACTTCAATGACATTTCTTTCAGGGAAGAGCAGGCATGGAGGATGGCATTGGAGATTTATCTAGGAAGCAAAGACTTCCTGGTACATAGGTACTTTATGTCCTTCATTACAGTTTCTTAAGGAACTGAGTTGAGGCGACTTCATTTTGTGCTTTCACTTTGCTTCATGCTAATAAAGATGGGTTTCATAGAAAATTCTGCATGCAAGTTGATCATTGCAGCATTAGCTCAATATAATTGCAAGTAAAACACTTCTAACTAATCATTCATCCATCAGCCATAGTTTTCTGTTTAAAAATGGTTAATTACATTAAAAAATATTTTGAGAAATGTGTCATCAAACAACATTCTTTGGAAATTGTGACCTTACCTTTCCATTTGAAAAACAAACCAAAACCTAAACGTATCTATATAAGGAATATGATTACAATAGTTCACTAAAATGGAGCACAGAATATACAGTTGGATGTAAAACTGCACTAAATTACAACTTGTACTGGTTGCTGTTCTGCTGCCTATAGTAACTTACAAGATATGTGTAGGTACATTGCAATTACAGTACAGTGTTCATTGTAATACACTAAAGAACATGTCCTTTTTTTCATACAAAGCTGTTTTTGCATATTGAGAGGCTAACTATACCAATAGGGATCTCTGGTGACATGTTTCATTTATAAATTTGTGCATAAATCAAAATGATGAGAAATAATCAAAAGAGAAAAAGGGATTTAATTTTAGATTCTGCAAAGGGGGCTATCCAATGAATGCACAGTCATTGGTGTGCAAAGCGCAGCATCTTTTAATTAGTAACTATGATTACACAATTACTAAATTGAAATGTGTCAGTGGCCCTGAAAAATCTGGACTCTGAGATCACAAGCTTTAAAACATTAGATCTGAACATTAGAGAATTAGAACTCCAATACATTTTAAGGATGCATCTTTTTTATAATCTCTTAGTATCACTGTGTAGACAGACCCTATCTTTTTCTTGAGGTGATTATATGTGCACATATAAATTTGTGCACGTTTCCACTGTATTCTGCTAGTCTTATATATTGGTCTCAAAATATGAGGGGAATAGGTTGGAATATTAAAGGGAAAAGGCTAGATAGCCTGTTATGCTAATATGTGCAATATGAAAATGTTTTAAAATTGCTTTAGAAAATTTGTCACATATTTATGCCTTATTAACTTTGGATACAGTTATAAATATTTGAATAATTACTAATTTCCACTGTTGGTTAAAATGTTTCATTATAGTATTGTACACTTTTTGCAAATATGTTACTACATTTATGATTGCTGTAGTTCACAGTTAAAAGTGCAAAGAATTACAACATACGACAACAATTGAGCCCAAAATTTATGTTGCTGAGTGAGAAATTTGTTAAGTGAGTTTTGCTCCATTTTACAACTTTTCTCACCACATTTGTTAAGTGAATCACTGCAGTTCTTACATTAGTAACATGGTTGTTAAGTGATTCTGGTTTCCCCATTGACTTTGCTTGTCAGAAGGTTGCAAAAAAGGATTACATGACTCCGGGACACTGCAACCATATCAATATGAACCAGTTGTCAAACATTCGAATGTAAATCACATGACCATGGGGATGCTGCAATGGTCATAAGTTTGAAAAATGGTCATAAACCATTTTTTCCAGTGTAACTTTGAACTGCCATTAAATGAACTGTTGTAAGTTGAGGACTACTTGTAGTGGCTTCCAGGGCACTTATATTTTGCAGTATTCACTTTATGTCCAAGAGATGTATTGGAGAACAGCAAAACTAAAATACTTCCTATTGCATCAGGAATACATTGAGGTTCCTGAATTAAGTGCATGAGAAGTCTTAAAATGTGAATATTGAAGTAAAACATTAGAATGTGATTGGCTTGAAATGTTGAAGTATAGCTTAATTCAGACATGAAGTTAAATCAGGTTTACTATATGAGTTTAAGTATGGACTAGATGATATTAATCTCATCTGCTTTAATTTGGAATCCTGCTTTAATTTGGAATCCTGCATTGATCAGGAGATTAATGACATAAAAGTCTGCCTCCAATTCTGGGACTGATGACATAAAAGTGCTTCAACTTCCAAGATTCTGGGATTGCAAAATGATGTTTGAATATTTGTGAATGATTTGAATATGTACCTAAAATGTGCTTACTGAATTACATTTAGAGAAAAGTAATATTCCTGAATTTATCATATTTTATAAATTTATTATGTAATCTTTTTCATTTGGATATCGGGATGTATAAATGAATGTTTATTATGGGTTGTTGTTGATTAATATTTTAAATTATTTTTGAGATGAAACATTCTATGTGATATATTACTAAATGTGATTCAGATTGTAGTTGCCTTAAATGAGAAAACGTTGCATGTGCATTTATCAATATATTTTATAAAAATTGTGCACTTGGGTGCTTATGCACAATTCCCACTAATTTTAGTGCTTTTAAATATGCGTGAGCAAGCCCAGAATTATTATACATGATAAAAATAATAGCTGCAGAAAAAATGGAATTAGTAAAAACATGAATCAAAAGTTTTATAAGTTTGTATCTTTACGCCAAGCTGCACAAGTGATGTTGCATTGTATAGTAAAGACCACACTCCAGAAGTAGAAAGGGCAGGAAGACCCCAATGTGGTAAATGGTGTTCAGAAATAAAATAGTGCATAAAGCTAAATTGTAAATTCATCACTAAGGGCTCACTTTTTTCACTCCCGCTGTAGGCCTCAGAACTCTTTCAAGATGTCACAGAAGTGAGTACACCCCCTCACATTATGTAAATATTTAAGTATATCTTTTCATATGACAACACTGAAGAAATGACACTTAGCTACAATATAAAGTAGTGAGTATACAGCTTGTATAACAGTGTAAATGTGCTGTCCCCTCAAAATAATGCAACACACACCAATTAATATCCAAATTGCTGGCAACAAAAGTGAGTACACCCCTAAGTGATAATGTCCAAACGGCGCCCAAGTAGCCGTTTTCCCTCCCTGGTGTCATGTGATGTGTTAATGTTACAGGATATCAGGTGTGAATGGGGAGTAGGTGTGTTAAATTTGGTGTTATCTCCCTATCTCTCTCTCATACTGGTCACTAGAAGTTCAACATTGCACCTCATGGCAATGAACTCTCTGAGGATTTGAAAAAACGAATTGTTGCTCTACATAAAGATGGCCTAGGCTATAAGAAGATTGCCAAGACCCTGAAACTGAGCAGCAGCGTGGTGGCCAAGACCATACAGCAGTTTAACAGGACAGGTTCTGCTGAGAACAGGCCTCGCCATGGTCGACCAAAGAAGTTGAGTGCCTGTGCTCAGCGTCATATCCAGAGGCTGACTTTGGGAAATAGACGTATGAATGCTGCCAGCATTGCTGCAGAGGTTGAATGGGTGGAGGGTCAGCTATCCGTGCTCAGACCATACACTGCATACTGCATCAAATTGGTCTGCAGGGTTGTAGTCACAGAAGGAAGCCTCTTCTAAAGATGATGCACAAGGAAGCCCGCAAACAGTTTGCTGCAGACAAGCAGACTTAGGACATGGATTCCGAGAACCATGTCTTGTGGTCCGATGAGACCAAGATAAACGTATTTGGTTCAGATGGTGTCAAGCATGTGTGGTGGAAACCAGGTGAGTACAAAGACAAGTGTGTCTTGCCTATAGTCAAGCGTGGTGGGAATGTCATGGTCTGGGGCTGCATGAGTGCTGCCGGTACTGGGGAGCTACAGTTCATTGAGGGAA